GTGGATGGACCCTTGGGATCCATTTGGGGAAAAAGACTTCTTTATCACTGACCGTTTCCTGTGACTTTTCAGGACTAGGTCAGGCTGGAGCTTGCTGGGCACCAAGAGCCTGGTCTCCCCAAAGACAGAGGCCCATGTTCTGTCCCCGAGGGACGTGTCTTTGTGTTGCCTGCTTCCTTTTTGATTCCAGTCAGCAACATCCCTAGAACATGTGGCCATAGCTCAGATGCAGCTCCGCCCTCGAAGAGCCGCATGGCTTTCTGGTTGAGTGAAGCGCTGCAGGGCCTCCCAGGAACTCTCCAGCCATTCAGATTTTGTGTGAGGTGACACGTGGGAGGCTCCCTAGGGAGAGTGTCCCAGCCTGATGGCCATGTGGATGGAGGGTTCTCCCAAGTGGGTGGAATCGTGTGTGCCAAGCCCCTGGCTGTGCCTCTGCTCGAGCTGGGACGTCAGAGGAAAGGGTGGCCGCTTCACCTGAGTTCATGTGGGCGTGCTCTTGAGTTGCGTGGGAGGTGGGGAGAGGCAGGGCACTGGACACAGACGGAGGGGTCTTGGCCACCCCCTTCCCCATCTCCCACAAGACCTCCGCTTCCTTCCTACTGGCCCTGCCAGTTACCACCTTCTCCTGCCAAAGCTACTTAGGAAATGCCAATGATTAGTGATTGTTATCGTGGTAATTAAAATTCCCTGGGAACAGCTTGGCTAATATCCATCAGTATCTGCAGTCAGGTTGGCCGTGAGCTGAAATCATAATGAAAACCTCGAAGCGAAGCTCAAAACAGTCTAAGGCAAAAATTTAATGTTGCTGGCCACCCTGCAAGTGCCTTGGCAACTGTGCGGGTCTCTTCTGATTAAATGGCATTTTCAAGGCTGGCTGCTTTGCTGGCCTTATCATAGCACGCCACACGTGGGGAGCAGATGGGGCTTTGCAAGGCTTCTCCAGAAAGCATTTTCTGAGCTGTGGCCCTCAACTGGCATGTGGTGGGAGTTAATTCCCATGGAGGGCTTTTCCCACCAGTGTTCTTGGGGAGGGGGCCAGGAATGGATGCCAGGCAGTGCGTGATGGGCCTGGAGTACAGAGCAGAAATGCCACAGGGCTTACAGGAGGAGCAGACAGCCCCAGACCCTGGTACAGGAACTCCCAGGGCATAACTGGCCCTCTGGCCAGGGACCTCCCCCTGAGCCTGGGGAGGGGCTACAAGCCTGGCAGACTGGTGCAAGCATAAAGGCTTACTGAGCATAAATATTAGGGTGAGTTATTTGAAATTGAGGGGAACTTTAATAGGTCAAATATGGTTAAATGCCCCCCAAAGCTTGAATATCAGCAGTGTGATGCTTTAGATCCTGTGCACTTTATCCTGTTTCCCAAAAGCCTTTACTGGTCAGTGTTTCTTAAGTGGGGACAAGGGGTGGCAGTGGGTTGCTGCACAGGAAGTGAGGCTCAGGCCCCTCCCCCATGATGCCAGGGGATGCATCTGGGTCTGTGCGTCTTTCTGGTGCTTGAGCTGGAGCTGGATGGAGCAGGCCTGTACACTGGCGTTCACAGTCAGGAAGGTTCACTGGAGCTTGTTCTCCACCCTAAGCCCTGCTAGGCACCTCCTCTTTATCTCCCTCTACATCTGAAACAGTAAGTCCTTTTGATTAATTACTAGAACCTGAATGAAACCCCCAGGCCACTCTCCTCGGAAGGCAACAGATTTTATAGAGTAGGACAGGTCCAGCAAACAACCAGAGAGAGAGAGATTTCAGCCTCAACATTATAACCAAACTGTGTTGACTATAGGACCTGCCAACTGTCAGATATGTTATGCATGTCAGAAAGACTTTCACTGTGGGATTCCACTCAGAGGAGGTGTCCAGGGCAGTCAGCTTCACAGACAGGTAGAACAATGGTCACCGGGGCTGGGGGGAGTTATTCAATGGGTATGAGTTTTGGTTTTGCAAGGTGGAATTCTGGAGATTGCGCGTCATTGTGAACATACTGTATACTGCTCAACTATACACTTAAGAAATGGATAAGATGATCAGTTGTGTGTTGTGTTATATTGCCATTTAAATTGTTTAAGTAAGTGCAAAGAAAGAGCAGACCTGGTCATAGGCGAGAGCCATGATCCCCGCTCTGCAGGAGCAGCACAAGAGACCCCAACCATGTGCTTGTTGCTGTGGAACCCCACACGCCTCTCCCGCCAAAGCCAAATGACTGAGCCAGCGTCAGGGCCATGTGGTCCACTCCCATTCAACAGAACCTTGACTGACCACCCAGGTAGCTGTGTCCCAGAAAGGCAGTAAGACCCCCAGTCCCTCCTGCAGCTCCTACCTCTGGTGAACTTGGGGCCTGGTAAGTGCCTCCCGCAGGCCCACCACGGCATGGGACTGCATCTGAACAGGATCTCAGGCCCCAGTCCCAACAGGAAGCATAATGTGGGGTCCCCACCTTGAGAATGCTTAGCGCTGGGGACTCAGTCTTTCTTCCCAGAGGTCAGTCTAACCGTGTACACGTCACCCCTTCACCCAGCAGCTCTGCTACTCAGAATACTTCTGAAGGCAATCTTGGTACCTGTCAGATGATGTGTGTGCAGAGATGCTGGTGCAGCACTGCTCACAAGAGTGAAAAATTAGAAACAATTTAAATGTCCAGCAGTGGGGAGCTGGTTTAATTAAGTTCAATAAATCCAAACCATGGAGCCATTAAAAAGTGATGGTGGAGTCCATTACTTATTAATACAGAACAGCTGCCATGATATATCACAAAATGGGGGCGAAGCAAGTTGCCCCCATGTGATCCTATTCTTCTTTTTAAAAAAAACTGAAAACATATTTATAGGAAACGGCATAAGAAAATTCACAGCATAGGTTAGCCAGGGCTTTGCAGTAACCTAGTATGATTACCTATAGTTCTGTTTTATTTTTATTGTCTAGTTTTGTATACTCTGTATATATGGGGGGAAATGCTGAGGAAGGGTGTGGTGCGGGTCCCAAGCCCACCTGGGCTCCACAGTTCACAGATGGCTCTTGAGGGCTTGCTGAATTTGGCTCCCCTGAGACCCGCCATGTTGGGGGGCAGGAGGCTGGTGTTCTCAGGGAAGGGCAGACACAGCCAACACATTTGACACTCAGGCCTTTGCGCAGCAGAGGGCGGCCAAGGCGTCCCTGTCCAGCCCCTGGTGGTTTCTTGGACGCCTTCCTTAGAGCTCTGCAGGGACAGCGTGGTCTTGGTCTCCCAGCCCAGCTTATTTCCTCTCTCCATATGGCATCCCCCTCCCCTCTAGATGTCCTGTCCACTCTGGTGGTGTCTGACAAAGGGTTGCCATTCACCCACCATGAGTGAGTATCTGCTTTGCATCTGTAAACTGGGACTTCAGTGTAGACTAGCGGCCAATAGCTTGGGGCCAACCTTGGGCAAGTTGCCTCACTTACCAGAACTCAGCTTTCCCTCTGAAAGGTGCAGGTAAAGCAAAGCTTCCTCAGAGGACATCACCAGGCTTCTCTGGGACTACGAGAGGAGACTTGTTGCTTTTGCAAAAAAAAAAAAAAAAAAAATTCACTTTTGTGAATTTTAGACCATGTGCATACAGCAATTCAAATTACATATATAAATGTATATTATATATTACACATACATTATTTATATATACCTGGTGTATGTGTGTATATGTATATATATTATAAAATATATATCTATGAAGGAGGGGTATGAGGACTAGAGAGGGTTTTCCCAAAGTGGGCTTCTCAGCACACCCATCTCACCAGATGGGCGCTATTTTTCTAGAACCACACACCAGCAGGCCCTTGCACATAGAGTAATCCGGGGAGGGAGGCTTGATTCATGTCTGGGGCAGGGCATGGGCGCAGTGGCCCTGTGCCTGGCACGCTGGAGTATAAACAGGTAACCTGGGAGGAGCAGATGCACCTTGATCGGCGCATGAGCAGCCCCTGTGCAGCTAGGTGTGGCGTGCACATGGTCCCGGCGCTCAGCTTGAGCTCCCCTAGGAAAGCCTTCCAGGTCGATTCCCCAGGAAGCGCTGGGTACTCTCCTGGTTGGGGCACCTTGGCACCCTGAATATTAATGCTGTCCTGCAGTGACCGTGCTTGGTTGAACTCATGCTTCCCAGTACATGTAAGTCAGGAACCCCCCCCCCTTTTTTTTTTGTCTGGCCCCTATTAACATCCCACAAATGAATGTGGTACAGATGAAGGATAGGGAATGGGCAACCCTGTCTAGAGATAATGAAGGCAGACTCTAGCCTTCTGGTTTTAATTTGTCCATTTTGAGCGGGGAACTTGGTCTGCTGCTCATAAAACTGACGTGAGCTATGTTGCAGATCCTCCCGTCTGTGGGGTAACTGCTCCAGGCCCGGCGCTGGGCAGCAAAGCTTTTGTCCATGCTCAAGTCTGGTCCTCAGGGCCGCCCTGGGAGACAAGGTCTATCCTGATGAAACAGGGTGGGGGAGCCTGATGTGTCCAGGCCTCGCAGCCGCTGGGTGACAGACCCCAGAATTCAAGCCGAGGACGCCTGCTCTGCACCCCCAGGCTTGCTCTTCTCTGAGAAGGTCACACCATTCCTTCACACGTTCCCACTCCTCTTCCTAAATACCCAGACTGTATCCCCTTCATCAGGAAAGAGATTACGGAGCACTTGGTGTTTTCTGAAGTAGGCGCTAGGAGTTCAGGGACCTTATCTCAGTCGCTGCTCTGACTTCTAATCTGCGGCTCTCTCTGAGATGGCCCTCTCTCTGCTGCAGACACTCTCAGCCCAAGAAGCTCTCAAAACTTGGCTTCCTACCATGGTGTGTCCCTCCTCCAGGCTCTCTCGTCGCTCTGCCCCAGGACAGGGCGGGCAGGAGAAATACAGTGGGCTCTGATGGGGCAACTGCTGGGTGCTGTATGCAGCAGCCAGCACCCCCCAGCTTTCATCCAGGGCGTGGGGGAGCCCGTGGGATGGGGCACGGTGCAGGAAGCCAGTTCTGTGCCTGATCTGCAAGCACATGTCCCCCCTCCAGGTCTGGAAGCGGTCAGGGGCCTGGTTCTACAAAGGGCTCCCCAAGTACATCTTGCCACTGAAGACTGCTGGCCGGGCTGGTGACCCCCACCTCCGACCTTTGCCTGTGGAGCCAACTGAGCTGGAGCCCAAGAGCACTGAGACCAGTCGTGTCTACACATGGGCCCGAGGGAGAGGTAAGTGCCCTCTGCCCTCTCTCCCAGCACAGCTCCTCACCTTTTCCTCAACCTGCTACAGGCCAGTGCCCACATACCTTGACCTATACCTGCTCAGCTGGACGTCAGCGTGGTGATTGCTTATGCAGAGTTCTCTGGGGCCATTTAACAAAAAAGCAGTAATTTGGGGGCAGAGAAGCCTTGAACAGCATTCTCAATCTTTGCAGAAATGTGATGTCCACTGAGGGTTTCTTCAGATTTTGAAAATGCATTCTCAGCAAGGGAGGAGTCCTGGCTCTGCCGCTCCTAGTGAGGAGCCCCTGGGTATTTGTGGTGGCTCACTGATGCACCCTAGGGGGCCACCATTAGAAGGGGTCTCTGCCCGCCTTGGCAGTGCTGGGGGGTAGATGACTCTCCACAGCTTACATGATGCTTGCCTATTCAGGGCCTCATTTTCAAATTTCCTAGTCTCACAACTGGGTCTGGAGGTGGACAGGGCAGTATGTCATGGCCCCATCTTAGAGATGAGGTGCCTAAGAGCTAGAGAAGAGAAGAGAGTCGCCCAGCTAATGTGCGCAGAGCTGAGACCAAAAGGCAGGTCCTTGCCCTCTGCACTCTGGTGCCCTCTGCCCTGAGGTGCCCAAGACCCGGTTCTGATGCAGGTTCCAAATGTGACAGGGCAGCCTGAGGGACGAGGGGCTCATCCTGACCCTGGGAAGGTGGACTCCAGGTAGGAGCCGAGGCAGCTTTTCCTCAGGTGGCCTGGCGCATCTCTGCTTTTGGGCGGGACAGTACCTGACTTTTTATCATTCACACCTGTTTGTTTTCCTGCTACAGTAATGTGTTAATGATAAAAGTTTGAAGGTAAAAATACCCAGAGGTTAGCCTTCCTAGACATAACCAGCTTGTAACACCAGCATTTTCTCCAGATGTTTTTTACTCAACATCTTTGGGCTCTTTTGCATCCAACCTTCTGTGATAATTGTCCAGAGCTCCGTTTGCACTTCCGACTCGCATGAACCCACCTCCCATCATCCCTGCCGTATACAAGTTTCTGTGGGGACCACAGGTGAGGGCAGGCAGTGCCCAGCAGGCAGTGAGGGCACAGGCCCTGACCAACTGACTTGAGGGTCACTGCGGTCAGCCAGTGGAGGAAGTAGTGTTGGGTGCTGGGGATCATACATTTGTAACGAAACAGCTCCCCTTTCCCGGGTCCCTTTTCCACCCCCAGAACCTGTCCTGCCCCAGCCTCGTCAGGGTATGTCCTTGTCCCCCGACCAGGGAAGAGACACGGCTGTGGAAACAGAAGCTGGCAGACATGAACAGGTTTAGGACATCACTGGGAGAGGGTTGAGGAGAGGAGGCCCTGAGCTCCCGCCCAAGGGGCCTTGCTGCCCTCTCAGCCTCAGGGTCAGTGCTGCCCACACATGCACGTGGGGCGGCACAGAGTCTGTCTTCCTCAGCCATGCAGGCACAGTGGCCTCTTCATTGTGTGGGCGAGAAGGCCAGTACCCACAGACTGTTTATTAACTGAGTTTTCACCAAGGCCAGGCAATGTGGAGGCCCCCATGTGAACTTGGTCTCCCTCTGCAAACCGGGTGGGTAGCCCCCAGGCCCCGAGCACAAGGCAGCACTCCAGGCCCCACAGTAGCTGCGTCACAGCCCTGTAGTTTCGGTGCTGAGCAGGCAGCTGCGGCCAGGCGGGTGACTGAGGTGTCACATCTGTGAGCAGCAGGATAGCGAGGGCTTATGTCCCCGGGGCGTCTGCCCCCACACAGAGAGAGCTGCACTGCGTAGGCATGGGGTACATGTGCTGGGTACGGTTGATCTTGGGGAGGCCCACAGGGGAAGCTGTGACCCCAGTCGGGCCCTGGGGCTGGGGGTGGTGTGGCTGGGGTCAGAGCTGCCATTTGTAGTCCAGCTCCAGTCTGCTGTGGCAGGCTGCCTAGTGGCCTGCTCACCCCAAATGAGCCGAGTACCAGGCAGAACAGAGTGACCGGCAGTGGGCATGGGCTCCTACCCCACGGGGAGCTGCGTTTTGTCCTAAGCAGGCCTGAGTCCTCAGCAGGCAGCATTCAGGTAGATGCTTATTAGATGAGTGAATGGGAGAATGGACGAATGAGTGAACCGTCCCTCTGCTCTAGGGTAATGAAAGACCAGTGAAGAGATTTCTGCTAATACCTGAGGGCCTTCTGGGTGAGGCGTCCATTGGCAAGCCCAAGGGACACTTGGAAGCTGTTTTTTAAAAAAGTCCGCTCTGGTGAAGTGGCTTTCCTCCCAGGCCCCTGCCCTTAGACACCCAGGGCCAGCACCCCGCTGCCCCTCCTCATCCTGACAGCAGCTGCCCTCTGTCCTCTCTCCGAACCTTCCTTCATCCCACCCTCTCTCTTTCCTCACAGCCCTTGGGCTGGCACACACACCTGTGGCTCCCAGCTTCTCCCCCACCCCAGCCCACCCCACTCATTTCCTTTCTCATGTCCTGTTAGAAGAGAAAGCTAATCAATACTACAGGCCATGAACTTTTCAAGCCATAGAACAGTCAAAATTTATTGATGTTTCTGAGACACATTCCTTACCTTCCTCCCTGATGTTTTTTTTTTTTTCACTTTTAACTGCATGAGAATACGTGCTGCAGTTCAACAAGTTAAACAATTCAAAAGCATGTCAAAAATTAAAATCTGTTTTGCTTGCTGTCATCTCCAAACCCCTCTACACACACATTATATGTGATATAAAGGTTTCCTTGCTTTTGTTTTAACAACAAAAATACATCCCTAGCTATTATTCTACAAGTTGTTTTTTTTTCACTTGAATGAATATTGAAAGCACCCTCCATGTCAGTAAAGCTTATGCTTTATATTTTTAGTAACCAAAAGAAATCCCATCATAGTGTAGACCGTGATTCAATTATTCACCTACTAATGAACATTTAAATTGTTTCTGGCTTTTCATCACTGCAAGCAATACTATAACATCCTTATACGGATATGATGCTTTCACTTCCGTGGGCTTTCTAAAAATGGGTTTAAATGTTCTAAATTTCCAGACATTCCCAGATCATATTCCAAAATGTTATACTCATCCTTGCCTGCCATTAATAATATTGGAGTTTAGCATTTTGTTCAGAATACTAGATGGAAACATTTTATATGTTAATTTGTACTTTCAAGTATCTCTTCATCTTTATTTTTTATTGACTATTTAGGTTTCCTCTTTAAAACTGCTCATTTTTTCCTGAACTGTGTATTTTCTCTTATTGATTTGTAGATGTTTCTTATGCTAGGGATGTTTAATGGATACCAAGGCTTTTCCCCTTGACTTTACACCTTGTTGGACTTCCCTCTTCACTTATATTATTCAACACTTTGCCGTTCAAATCTATTTTGCCAGTCAAAACAGTATGTTTTCTTTTTTGTGATGTCCAGTATGTCTGTTGTGGTCTCTAGGCTTCCTCTTTTGCTTTGAAGTGTCTTCCTCAACCCAAGATTAAAAAAATTAAAAGTCTGTTAACTAAAAAGTTTAAAAGAACAATGGAAACTATTTAAATGTGATAAAATTGCCCCCCAAATTTTTTTAAATCTAACACCAAATATATTAACTGATAAAGACTGAAATCACCTTCTGTCAAAATGCAGATCAAGAATATCCTCACCATCACCATCATCCAATAATATTTTGTAGTATAAAGCAAGAAAATAATCTAATATTAGGAAAGAGAATTATCTTGTTTGCAGATGATGTGATCACATACGAAGAAAAACCCCTGAGAACTTACTAAAACAACTTACTGGGATTAAAATAGAAATTTCAGAAATGACAGGACACAAATTAATAGTTTACACAAAAAATCAATAGTTTCACTCTATGCTGACTAATTAGAAGTGGAAATGGGAAAACCCATTATTCATAGTTTCAACAAAAATTATACAATTCCAAGAACAAAATTCAAAAGAAAATTATAGGTTAAGTGTGGAAAAAAAGTTAAAGAATCTTATCAGCAGTCAAAAAATAATACATAAACAAAAAGATAAAAATCTAGATCCTTCTAGATTAGTAAGTGTGGTAATTCCTCCCTGATCCCCTGTGTAATTTTTAGAGGGGACTGAACTGAAATGTCCCCATTATCCAGTGAGATCCAAGTGTAGCATAATCATGCGGTGGGAATATTATGCAGCCTTAAAAAGGAATGATGTACTGACACGTGCTACAGCATGGACAAACCTTGAACACACTAGGCCCATTGAAAGGAGTCAGAGATAGAAGCCTACATATTGTGTGACTCCATTTATGAAATGTCCAGGATAAGTAAATCCATACAAGCGAAAGTAGATTAGTGACTATAGGTGAGTGGTGGGAGGGTTGGGTTGGGTGCTACTGGTGCAGAGCTTCGGTGAGAGGCCACAGAAATGTTCCTGGAGTAGAAAGCAGTGATGCGTGCCCAACTTTATGAATATACCAAAAACAACTGAATTTAACTTTCAAAGGGTAGATTTTATGGTATGTGAATTATATATTCCCTCAGCGTTGTAGGGCTGTTAGAGAATAGCTCAACAATGTCTTTTACAAGAGCAGCAAGGGCAGTGGGAGGCGTTGTCTGACCAAATGTTGAAGCTCACTATAAAATTATGATGCCAATAAAAATGATACAGTCTTGGCACCAGAATAAATAGAATATATGTTGATAGAATAAATAAATATATGGAACAGAACAGAGAAAGAACTGAACATAGGTAGCTTTTTAATTCAGTGAAAAAAAAATAACAGGTTATTTAACATGTGGAGATAGCATATTAGATTTTTCCATCCCATTCTCTGTGTATCCAGAAACGTATTACAGACAGATTAAAGATCTAAATGTTAAAAATAACACAGTGAACATTATTAGAGAAAACTTACAAGTGTCTTTTTCTCTCTGTTATCTCAGAGAGCTCTGGCATCTACAGACAGCTGGGCTGTCTACCTTAGTTTGCTGCTCTCTCTTCTGTACACTGTGTATTGATTGTGGCTGAGGACTTGCCTTG